TACAGGTATATATGTGGTTAGACAGTCCTTGATTTGGCTGCAGTTGTACATGTAGATTCCACACAAATAACCAGTTACATGTGATTGCACATTCTCCTTCTTAAGAAAAGAAATCACTTTAACTTCTCACAGTCATCCCCGATGAAACCACAACCCAGATGCCGACGACCGGTACGTCCCACGCTCTCCGTTGCTTAACATTTCCTCCATTAAGCACACTGCCACTTGCTGTGCCAAATTTCGTTTGCCTTTTCTCAGATTTTGCTCACGACAAAGGTGCTTACAAGTGCTAAAAGTTATTCCAAAGTTTTGGCTAATTTGCTCGAAATTCCAAGCAATACTCTGAGCAAAGATTCTCATGCTTTGCACAGTGCGAGTGGTTTCCCTGGGTAAAGAGGGTGAAGAGAATTTCCCATTAACAGGTTTACTGTCAATTGCAAGCAAGCATGTACAATGTATATAATTTACAAACTACATGTACAGTACATGGACATATGCAATAAGCACGTACATGTACATGTACATGTCTACATTTAAACCAACTGGTGTACACAGACCCTTCATGTACATGTTTACAGTAAGTGTACATTCAAGGTTGTTGTAGAGCCTTTTGTACATGTTCGCTACCCATGCACAGGTTCTGAGGAAAACCTATCCATTCATGCAATATTACATAGGTACACTGTACCTATAAAATTCGTTCATCTGTGAAGATCAGCCTCAGAAGTGAGAGGTCAGCTACAGGTAGACCTGTGGTTCCTCAGCTAGTCAGAAATGTTTAGAGATGTGTGATAATTGCCTGGCATTCTCAGAATGCCAGTGGTATGACTGAAAGTGAACTTCCTGGATGGAATGACTAGGTAAATATGGAACAAGTGGGAAAGGTCACTACTGTACAATAAACATCCTGAAGCCAACATGATAAGATGACATCCACATCTGACACTAGCAATCTTATCGCCAGTGGAATTTCGGCTCCAGGGATTAGCTGAGCTACATGTACAGTACATGTATGAGGGGGACTTGCTCTGCCCCTCTTATTACATGTACATGTACCGGTAGGTCCTGCCAATTGGACAGAAACAACCTGTTGGTCCTAAGAGTTTTGTACATGGACGTACATGTACGCCCTGGTACACTGTAGGGTGAACTGGGGTAAACGTGCCCATGGACTTTTACACTTGTACCATGCGCATAAAAAGTTAACAATAAAAGGAATGAAGTCCACAACATATCAGATATAAATCCCTTAGTGTTGCTTGAAAGTTGAAACTGTTGGCTGCGAAAGTCCTGTCATGCCAGCAAAATTCAAAAAGGTACATGTATATCGTTACAGGTATTTTGTGAAGTTTCAAAAAGTAAAGTACCGGTACATGTGTATTTTTGAAATGCGTTTTTACGAAGGACCGGTATATTGTTTTGAAAATTGTGTGTTTGTTTGTATTGTTTGTTTGTTTGTTTTTTGGGAGTACACATGTATATGTACTCATATTTTTCAGGATTGTTTTCATAAGATGTGTTTTATAAAGTACTGCTATGTATCTTTGCTCGTTCGTTCTTAAGAATCATCGTTACGATTTTAGGAAACGAGTATCTTTTTGATCAAATTTGTTTTTCCAAGTTGTTTTTTCCAAGTTTTTAATTTTCAAAGAGATGTAGTCCATTGTATATTAACAACTTTGATCAATTCTCATGAAAACAAACCACACAAAAATTCAATTCAGAGTTAAACTTCAAAACATATTTCTCATAAACACTGACTTGGCAAAATTGTACAGTATCTTTAAAAATGATTGGTTTCCAAAAACAAAACAGTGCTTCTAAATATAGATCTCATAGGAACAAACGGGATTTATGCCTCGATCAAACAAACTCTGGAAAGAATGTAGGCCAATCTCATAAAATGGAATTTGAAAAATATATCTTCACTTTTTTAATATACCGTACATATACTTAATAGCTGTGTAATTTATAAAAGGGCTTGGGTAATCTATGGTACATATGTATGTACTAATCTGTCAGGAATGTCACTGTTTTTGTGAGATAGCTGCAGTGTGCACTCATGCCTGTAATCCAAAGGAGTTCCCTCTCTTCAGACAATTGAAAGAGTGAGTCATTGGTGGACACAGCTTCCCCTTGCTGTATAACTTCCTGATACAAAGCTGATGCATGGAAAACGCCCACACAAAGTTTGCTAGTATATCAGTTGGTTACATGTTCATTCTTATCCATCAGTTTACATGTACATGTATGTACATGACTTCATGGGAGTGATGCAGGACTGTACAACGGTTTGGAAAAACCCTTCATTTTGCTTGGCACATACATGTGTACAGTCTATACAGTACACAGCAAAAACGAAAATATCAGGAATTCCTTTTTTCTACCTACTAATTATGTAGATGCATGTACAGTACACGCCGGTAGACGCGGATATACTCACCGGTACCATACATGTGCATGATCATGAACGTGTATGGTTATGTACATGTACCGGTATATGTACAGTCTGTATTTGTACTGTACATGTACCATCCAGCTTTACAGGATTATACACATTGATGAAAATTGTACTTTTTAAATTACACCCCCCCAAAAAAAGGAGATTTCGGGGACATTTTGTGGCCTTCAAAGCACACTTTCAAATCATGAATACCCTGGTACAAGTGGTTTACTATACATGTACTCCTGTGTTCAGTGCCTACAGACATGACAGACATGATGTACATGTACCTCCATTTCAAACAGTTATCCCCAGCACCTGCAGTGGCTGATTCATCTGGACCCACCCACTGACACATCTATAATTAGTCATAATGACTGGTCTGGGGTTTTCCCTTGACAGACCCAAGGTGATTCAGTGCATTCCCCAAATGCTCTTCAACTGATAAAAACAATGTGTACCAGTCCTTGGGTTACCCTAGCAGGGGTGTGTACTTGAAGCTGTCTGCAGTGCGGTTAGGGTACCAGGTACATACAGCACATGTATGTTCTGTGTTTAGCCATGACCTTTTGTCACTTGACAACCCCACACAGAGAGAAGAACAAAGCCTGTTTGTACTTGTATATAGTGCAGCATGCCCATTCAAATCATAGCCACAACAGCAGTCACCTCACTGGTTTGTTGGTAAACCAGGGAGCCATTAGGCTTTGAAAATACATGTATGCAACCATGCACATTATGCGCGCCATTTCATTTACATGTATGTATACATGTACATCAACTGAGGTAGAGCATTTTGTAAGTGGATGTACCTGTATCAGATGATAGGTACATATATGTATATAAACCGGTAATTTAATCCTACATGTAATCGCCCTCAATTTCCAAGAAGAACATGTACATGTACATATGTATTATAAATACTCATGCATGTACTTTCAATGTACACCAAGACTTTGTGAAGTCTGACATGCTGAAAGCTGAAGAAGTGGAGAGATTAATTGTACCTGTAGGCCTATTTTGTTTCTATTTTTATGTAAGTTCAGCCCTTATCTGCAGGACACATTTTTTATTGTTCCATGGTACCCCTACATGTTTGTATAATCAG